GTAGCAGTTGACAGTTTTAGGGCAGGGCCAGCAGCTGCAGGTGTAGAGAGGCTTCAGCTGGAACCCATACAAGGCGTACTGGCCCACAATGAAGCTCACTTCCAAGAGAGCCTTGAAGATGACATTGCAGACATATGTCCTCAGGATAGCTCCCTGCATGCAGACCTGTCCCTGTGCATCCCCCACAGGGACCTGGGGCTGCCTGGGGCGCTGCCTCCCAGCCCAGCCACCAGCCTGTACCGCCGCTTGCTGCTGCGCCTTCTCCATATGCACCAGGTGCAGGATGTGGCCAAGGTACACGAGGCTGGGGGTGAAGACGAAGATGATCTGCAGGACCCAGAAATGGAGGTGGGAGATGGGGAAGGTGCTGTCATAGCAGGCAATCTCGCAGCCAGGCTGCTGCGTGTCACAGGAGAAACAAGACAGCTCATTGCCCCAGACCCACTCGGCAGCCGCCCCCAGCACCAGGATGCGGAAGACGCAGAGGACGGTGAGCCAGACCTTCCCCACCACTGTGGAGTGCTCCTGGGCACTCTCCAGCAGCCACCCCAGCAGGCTCCAGTCCCCCATGGTACACACTGCTGTGCCCTGCAAGACACCAGCCCTCCAGACACAGCCACCCCACAACCCACCAAACCCCATCCCCCAGCCAGGCAGGGGTGCAGGGATCCAAGCCAGGGCTGTCCCTGGGGTGTCCCCACCCTGCATCCCATGGGACCCCTTAACCTGTCATGGGGAGGGCAGTGGGAGCAGAAACCACTGGCAGAAAGCAGCCCTGCTGCGCTGGAAGCACCATAGAGAACATGGCAATGGTGATCAGGCACAGGGACTCCTCACCGTTGGCAGATGTGTGGGGCAGAGCCTGGTGCTCCTGTGCTGTTGGGTCCCCTTGGTGGAGAAAGGCAGGATGCTGCAAGGCCCCTTCCCAGACGGTCCCTGGCTTCTCAGTGGGGTGTCATCAGGTCTGCCCAGCTCTGTCTATCCACCCAACAGTGGGCACAGAGCTTTTGGGGCATGAGGCAGCAGTGTGCCCCATTGGCTTTTGTTGTGACTGGCAGATGAAACAGCCACTGGGGAAACATTTTCCCTCTATTTTTGGTCTGGGCACTTTTCTAAATATATTCGGGGCTGCAGGGGCTGGCACTGGGGGAGCTTGAGCCCTTGGACACTGCTCAATGCCACCCAGGGGTCACTGCTATCACACACCAGCTGCCAGGGCACTGTGGCCAAAGCCCCAGCCCAAGCACTGCAGCCCCCACAGCCCTTGGTGGCACCCACTTGGGCTAGGGTGCATGGGTGGCACCCTGTGCTAGCACCTCAGTCCCCAGGATGTCCCAGTTGGAGCAGAAAGGATGGAGGCAGCACCTGAGAATGGAGATTTAATGGCCTAAGATGCCCTCCTGGCTGTCCGGCCCCTGAGGGATGCTATCCATAGGACAGGGACAGCACAGGGCAATGGGGGGGCTGTGGCCTGGGGACAAGGACCAGGGCCCCTGCAGCGCTGACCCTAGCAGGCAGAGCAGCGGTCGCCCTTCTCCTGCAGCCCAGGGTTGCGGCGCAGCATGTCCTTGAGAGAGCCATCCTGCTCCGTCAGCAGCTGGTTGATCTCGTTCTGCTTGTACTCAGAGGAGAGCTTGTGCCCGTAGAAGGAGCCCTTTGATGACGACGGGTTGGAGTTGTGCTGGCCTCGGCGGGCACAGGCCCGCACCACCAGGTAGACCAGCTCTGCCATGTTGAGGACGATGCAGATGCTGGAGGTGACCAGCATGAAGACGGTGAAGACTGTCTTCTCAGTGGGCCTGGAGATGAAGCAGTCAACGGTGTTGGGGCAGGGGTAGGCCTCGCACTTGACCAAACGCACCATCTGGTAGCCCGGGTAGAGCATGTAGAAGATGTACATGAACACAGCCTCAAAGAGCAGCCTGAAGACCACACTGCAGACATATGTCCACCACAGCGAGCCTGATATGCGCATCTTATGCTTCTTCACCTCCTCCATGTGCTTGGGGTCTGCGTGTCCTGTCAGCACCAGCAGCTTCTTCTCCTGGTGCTGCTGGTAGGCCACGTGCATCGCCACGAGGAGCGCCGGCGTGGTGACAAGGATGAGCTGTAGGGCCCACAGACGGATATGGGAGATGGGGAAGAAGTGGTCATAGCAGACGCTGTTGCAGCCGGGCTGCTGGGTGTTGCAAGTGAAGGCAGATTTCTCATCCCCCCAGACGCTCTCGGCTGCCACCACCAGCACCATTATCCGAAAGATGAAGATGACAGAGAGCCAGATGCGCCCGATGGCAGTGGAGTGGCGGTTCACCCCGCTCAGCACCGTGTAGAGGCCTGCCCAATTCATCGTTCCTCACTTCTGCAGGAACAAGCACCAAGAGACTGTGTTAGGAGTGGGAAGGGCCCCTGGCTGAGAGCCACCACGTCTTGGTCCCGGTGGCAGCAGACCCAGGAGGAATCCAGGAGCAACTGGCCGCTGCAGCCCTGGTAAGTGGACAGCAGGATGCACAGGTGGCAGGGTGGCTCCCACTGCTGAAGCAGTTCAGGACAGCATTATGGACGGAGCAGCAGGGGACTGGTTGGCCCTGCAGTGCCAGCTGCTCCTGTCCTGCCACCCCACACTGCTACAGCAATTCTGACCCATTGCTGCCTCAGGAAATGGGGGTGAAGCTCCCACAGTCTGAGATCCCCGATCTGCACCCAGGGCAGAGCTCTCTGGCTAGGAACAGACCCAAAGAGCTGCATGGATTCCTTTGCACCAGCACCTCCCTGCACTTTCCCCCTTCCCCTCCCCCCCCCATTCCCTGCAGGATTTGAGCCGGGGAGCCCTGACCCAGGGCCCCCCCTCCCATACTGCCATGCATAGCCACCCTCCTCAAGCCTCCCTGCCTGGGGAGCATGGACTGACCCCACACCCCAAGCAGAGATTCCCACCCCTCTGAGGCCACCCCCTGGCACTGAGCAGCCCCAACAGCTGCTTCCCACCCTGACCACGAGACTGGGGGGCTGGGACCTGCCCTCCTGCAGCCCCTGGCGTGGAGTCCCAGCAGTGCATACCTGCCGGTGAGGAAAGGTGCTCACAAGCTGCCCTCAGTGGCCCCTCTAAGGTCTCATGTCTCCCGCAGGAGAGCTCTGCTCCGCCTGCCCTTGTCTCTGTCCACCACTGCCCTGCACTGGAAGTCATATGCTGCTTTATAAACTATTTACATACAATGAGGCCTTTATCAGCCCCTGAACAACACACTTTAGCATTCAGATCCAACGCCCTGACTTCCGCCCACCCCAGCCAAACAAAGTGCCTGTGTGCTGCTTTCCTGCTGCCTGCCCCCACACCCGCTCCCTCCTTGCCCCACGCCGACCGTGGCTGCAGCCCCCCGACTGCTGGCCACGGGGTGTTTGTCACTCTGCCCGGCAGAACCCAGTGCCACAGGTATCGCCAGGCTGGGGCAGACACCCAGGGTGCCTGGAGGCCCCTTGCCCAGGGCGCAAAGCCCAGCTGCACACCCGTCCCACATGGAAAGCACAGGGCACTGCTGTAACCAGAGCTGGAGGCTGCAGCCCCAACCCTAGACCCCCGGTGCCCCCCAGCTGCAAGACGTGCAGCCACCCCTCAGCAGCGTGGTGCCCACCAGGCTCTCACCTCAGCACCAGGACATGCAAAGCTCTCCAGGACTGCAGTGGCCTCAGCCTCCAGCTCACCACCCTGGACTTTATACTGCCCTCCAGCACGTCACCCACCCCCTCCCAAACAGCCTTGCTCCTTCCAGGACTTGCTCCCTGCCAAGTAAATACCACAGGTGTGTCTTGTTCACGCTAATACCACTGTAGCCACCCACCAGCACCCACCAATGCCCAGGCATTTCCCCACCCTAGGAACCACCCACGGGCCACTGCAGCACTGAGGCAGGGCCAGCACCCCAGGATGGTCGCTGTAGGATCTCTGGGGGTCCCCTGGCCACCCCTGCTGGTAAGTATCCCCCCCCTCCAAGCTGGGACATGCACCACAGTGCAGCCCTGCTATCCAGCCCAGGGGATGGCTCTGGGCACCCCCAGCTCCCAGAACACCTTGATCCTCTTGCAGGCTGCTGGCCGGTCCCTGGGGAGCCACCAACACCCAGATTTGGTGTATAAAAGAGAAGCCAGGAGAGGCAAACAGCCTGTCAATGATTAAACCTGCTAACGGCCCACTCCAAGGTCCCACTGCCCAGCACCCTGTGTGGCCCCGCAGCACACTGGAACATGGTGACCCGCCCTGCATTTTGGGGCCCAGGGGTGGGCTACAGGACGCACTACACACCATCCCCTGCATGAGGACGGGCCGTGGGGACACTGTCCCCCGCGCTGAGCATGGCAGGGTGGCACCACGGGGCAGCGGGAGGTGACACGGGCTCCCTCCGCGGCGTGGCGAGGGCAGTGAGGAGCCGCGAGTGGGGCCGGAGGGAGCTGCAATCTCGGCCCTCGATAAGATGCCGGCTGGATCAGCAGGAGGCAGCCGCGGCGCC